ACACATAGCACAGACACGGTTCTTCTGTTTGTTTCATGTCTATCCATCTGCATAGTCTATCCATGTTTTGGTATTCCCTGGTTCTTGAGTGCTTAACTTTTTAGCTAATAACACTAATACATTTTTATGCAGAATTAATCATCATTTCTCAAAGACAGTACCTGCATTAATTTTACTAGCTTACATGAGCCCTGTTGCCTTAAACTAGATTTGCTTTTTAAAAAACAGTCTCATTGCAGGCAGGAGCACACAGAGGTAGTGCAGTCTCCATGTAAGGAGGGCAATTGTGGGAAGACCACACTAAAGATCTTTGCCGGTGAGAACGTCTGCCTGGCAGCTTCCCTGCAGAGCAGAAAGGGAAGTTGTGAGTGAGCTAAGCAGAGAGAGAGAGAGAGAAAATCCAAACCAGGTTTGGTGATGGCCCATAAAAGGTTTTGAGGTTAGTGAAAAGGAAATAGCATATAGTTTTGCTATCTAGGGGAATACTAGCAACATGGTTACTGTACCCAGCCCGGGTTTATGATTATTTTTACTTTGTTGTACGTAGGTTTTTGAACTCTTGCAAATACGTTTAGTAAGTTTCTGGTTAGAGAGAGTTTATCCAGCAACCAGCAGCTGATATTTTAACTTTGAGGAGATTTTTTTTTTAGAGTTGCATCAGATTCATTGCACAAGACGTCAGTAAGGGGAAGTACAGAATAAGACTTGTAAATAATGAATGACTCATCTCGTCTGCAGCGATAGCGAACTGTGCTTTATTCCGAGCGTGACACTGCCTTGGCAGTGGAGATGTAACTGTCACTTCCGAGCTCCCTTCCCAACCAGTGAGGAAGACTGGACAACAGCCTGCTCAGAAAGGCAGGTGTAGGCTTTGTACGTAGGGATAGCAGGGAAACATTTTTACGTACTGTCCCTGAAAAGTCAGCTGCATCTCAGTAAATAAGAGACCTTGGACTGGCCTATTTTAGTCCCCGTCATTCAGAAAGATGCTAAAATGTGCTCAGCTGCAAGGGAGAGAGGATTTCTTACACACTGGTTAGAAACTGTTGCAGTAACCTTTCCCTGGTCAGGTCTAATCTGCCTTAAGATGACTCTATGACCACTGTGGCATTCAAACTAACTGCTAAAAGAAGCTCCTTGGAAGCAGTATCGTATTTGTGAGTAGGGAACTGTACGGCTAAGGGGGCCTACTGGTCAAAAAATTCGATTTAAACTGACAAAAGGGTATGTTTGCATACACTGCTTGGGGAACAGCTGTGACATCTACCTAGCACTTTCCTTCTGAATTAAAAAAAAAAGAACAGATAGCACGGGAGCTGCCTTAACTCAAGGAGGCTATTTGGATTACTTAATCCTGCAGAAGATGGATGTTCCAGGTATGGCCATCACCTGAAAAGGTCATGAAAGGGGCAGAAATTAAAAGGCAAGCTACTAGGGGGAGAGAAACAGAACAAAAGTAGGGAAGAACCAGTCAATTTAGGACTATTACTGTGAAGTAAGGAAGGGATAGATACTCCCAGTGCAATGCAAGTTAGAACCGGGCATGCTTACGTGGAGGTGAGGATGGTTAGGCCAGATGCAGAAGACCGCAGGGACTCCATAGCGTGAGCTGCTCAGAAAAGTGGAAAGCTCTTTCCTTGTTCCTGAGAGGATTCAGAGGAAGAAATCCCGGCCTTTCAATTGGAATAACTGTTCAGTTTATAAAAGAAAAACCCACCTTCATGTGGCTAGTCATCATGTCCTGTCCTGCGTTCAGAGACAGCTGCCTGAATCGTAGTGGCTGTCTGATAGATTCAAATGACCATGTATTTCTTTTAGAATCATAGAATCACAGAACGGTTTGGGTTGGAAGGGACCTCAAAGATCATCCAGTTCCAACCCCCCTGCCATGGGCAGGGACACCCTCCACTACACCAGGTTGCTCAAAGCCCCATCCAACCTGGCCTTGAACACTTCCAGGGATGGGGCAGCCACAACTTCTCTGGGCAACCTGTTCCAGTGCCTCACTATCCTCCGAGTGAAATTTTTTTTTTCTTATATCCGATCTAAATCTCCCCTCTTTCAGTTTTTTGCTTTAAAGTTGGCAAGAGCTAGGTCTGTGTGCCAGAACTGAGGACATGGCTAGATCACCTCAGCTTGAGGGTGCATGGGTTTGCTCGTTGTTGCTCAGGCTTGTTCACTTTTCTGGCTAGCAAATGCTTAATGGGCGAGTTGGATTTGAGTTTTGAGTCCTCTGACGGGACATGAACTGATGCGTTTTAAGTACTGAACGATGGTGAACGAACAGTTACAGCCTCTTCCTAAGGAGGGTACGACCTCAGAGTCATTGCTGGCCCGTGCAGATCAGAACCAGCCATCTGGAAGCTGAAGTGAGTAGTGCAGCAGTTCGTAACGCAGAGCTCTGGTTTCTGCAGAAGCAAATTCCTTAGCTCAGATTGGTAGTGTAATTTTAACTCCTGCTTTAACAATAGACATGATTTAAATGTGGGTATTTAAAGGTTATTGTGTCTGTTATGTGAGATCATTCTCTGTGTTCTGCTAAGGCTTCGTATTCCCTGGGGAACTGAGTGAACAATATGGAAATGAAGGCAGTAAAGCAGTAGGACACGCAGTCCTGACGGCTGTACGGAGTAGGGCGATTCAGGAGTGTGTAACTCGCCTGTGAGGAGTAAAGATGACTGCTGCAGGCAGGGCGGGTGGGATCCCTTTCACATACCACCCCCTGGCCCAGGCACTGGAAAAAAACAGGTACTGAAGTACATTAAGTACTGAATTGCTGCAGGTAGAACGTGGTCCCATTTCCCAGCCACACCATCTCCCCTGAACGGCAGCAGTTCATCCAGTGCCTCAAGTTTGCCTACAAAGGGCTTTTACAAATTCCGTTTAGGGAAGCGGCTTTTTTCAGCCTTGCCTTCACAGCACCCCGGGTGTCTCTCAAGAAGTTCTCCTCTAAGTTAACCAGAGAAACAGGAATTACTGAAGTGCCTCCGACCACGACCCGCATACCCTGCCGGCCCTCGTAACTAGTGCCAAGCGCTAAAGCAGGAAGAAACTCTGCAGTTGCCTTGTCTTACAGTACGTTCCCAAAAACATTTCTTCTCACCTCTTAAGACATGCACACAACTAGCTATGCATCAGCCATGCTTCCATACCTTCAGAAACAAATCCAAACCAATTCATATTGTTTAACACAGTGTTCATGTCGTTAGCCATCTGCCACAAGTCAGGTTTTAATGCCAGACTTTTTTAGATGTCTTGTTCCCAGTGAGTTCCCAGTCTGCCATTGATCATTACTTTCTATACTTCTATCTGGTATTTAAGGTGAACAGTTACAGTGTTTTCACATAAGCCTTTTTTTTCTGGCCCCTAGCAATTCTCATATGATGTGGGGCTTGAAATGTGGTCACAGCTTTCCAGCTGCCGGTGTACAAGAGGTCTGTTGTTTTCAGTATTATTATTATTATTATGATTATTTGTCTCTCATTTTTATGCACCATTGTTTCCTGTTGTCCTCCTCCCCTTGAAAAACAGCCGTAACTGACTAAGAGCGTTCAGTTTTATGAACACATAAAAACATCTGTGTCTCTCTGCAAGGACAGAGCAGTTAATTTAAAACCTAGTAATCTGTATTAATAACTCATCGTGTTCGCTCTAAACACGTATCGCTTTGCGGTCAAAACTGCAGTCTCGACCTTGTTGGGTTTGTGTCTTGCCACCCGACCATGAAAACAGCTAAATTTTCTGAAATGCCATAGTCTGGACAAACCCAGATGCGCCACCTACACACTTTGCTACTTCCCTTTATAAACACCGCAGATGGAAACACGAATCCTTCCAAAAATCTTAATAAAATCAGTTTGTGTAATTGTAGGGTTTTGGGTTGGTTTTTTTTTTTCAGTTCTGTGATTGGGGTTTTTTTGAGCATTGCCTTTCTGGTTCATGTCAAAGTAGCAGAAAGTTAGGAATACCCTGTTATTACCAGAAAGAAGGAAAAAACAAACCCAGCATTTTTAATAATGTGTTATTAGCACAAGGAAAGAAATTAGATTAGCTGTCATTCTTTTTGAAACACCTTTTTTCAGTGTGGCTAAGTTCCCAGCTGCCCAGGAAATAAGCAGACAAACCTCTGCACTTTCACTCATGTAAATGTAGGATGTTGCAGAATCTTGGAGATGAAATGCAAAACTGTCTTTATGGTATTTAAGTACCTACTTAATGATGTTGATTTTTTAAGGTTAGCGTGCTGTAAGTGTTGGCTCCTTAATTGGAAATTTGTCCTGCTCTTGGATAGTGAGAGTTGGTCTTGGCATGGGAAGCAGGATGTTAAAATCTGCTTTTAGAAGGCAGGTTTTTAACATGGCATAATTGCACAGTACGTAGCAGGAGGAGGTGAGCTTGTTCTGTCTTCCGAACGCGACAAAAGCAATGCATCACACCAGCAAAAAGGTGCACCTAAGCTCCTAAAACAGCAGAGGTGTTTTCCTGGGAACGCTCCTTAATCCCTGCGCATTTTAGTCCCGGATTCACTAATCTAGTCACACTGTGACTGATAAGATCCATACCCTGCTTATCAGGTGTGGTAGCTGGTCTCAGGGCTGGGGATCTCTGTTATCATCCCGTGGTTTCCGACTGACTTGGGAACCGGCGGAGCAAAGCCTGCTTGCCCGGAGCCGTAGGGAATGTGCCAGGTTGGCACAGCCGAGCTCCTGAGGTGTTCTGGAATGGAGCTGGAGCAGTAGCACAATGGAAAACCTACAGAACGTCATCCTTATGTTTTCCTGCTTTAATTGCTGCTTGTACAGGGATATTGCTGCATCTCAATCCTTGCTGCCAGGCAGGAAACCCACCAAGCAAAATCTCTGCAGGATAAATTTTGTGTTTGGTAGGAGACTTTTCTCTCAACTGCCTTAAGAATGTATTGTCCTTGAATTACTATTATATTTAAGCAATGTTCTTAAAATTATTCCCCAATTTAAAATAGAAATTGTTACCTTTTTCAGGAAATCCAGTAGAGGAGACTTCGTATTTTCTGCTGATCGTCTGGTAGGTGAAGAATTTCTTCTCCTTGGTATTGTGCTTTGTAACTCTTCCATAAAACGGGGCTTTCAGGCTAGAATAACGATGGTGTGAGGGCAACTTTTCGACGCAAAGGGAACTGCTGTTTGACAGCAACTTTCTGTATAGGGACTTCTGTTCTCTGTTACAGACCGCTTTCATCCCAAAGGGTGCCAGAAACCACATTGTTATCGAACACAGCTACTTCAGGACAGAAAGCAGTAGTAACATGAGAACACTGTTTCAAAACAGATGCTCAGAGGCTAGAGATGATCCAGTTTTACTTTGAAACGGTACTTTTGATCTTGTGAACAGAGCTGTACAATTCCTTTCAGTCTGGATGTTAACAATTGCTTGCATGCAGAAGTGCCTCCTGGCACTTGTGATGTGTTAGATTGTTAACTCTGGGTGCAGCCACACTAGGAATTTGTTTTATAGCCATATGGTAGTTACTAGCAGGGACAAAGCAATTTGAAGTTTTCACACATTTTAGCAAGTCAGAACAAAGGCTGTTGGGAATGCACCATTTATCTCATTTAAATTACATACTTAAAGAAAAACACAACACTCATGCGCACACATCTGCTTCCTTGTATTTCATGAGGGTGTTTGCTGTTTGCAAATCCACATTCATTAACAAGGAAAGTCTTTCCTTCCCTTTCCAGAAAAGATGAGCCCAGAGACCATTCAATTACCAGTGCCATTTGCTACAGCAGGCAGGTCTCCTGTGACAAGCCGAGTCTTAATCCGTGCCTGATCCAGGCTTGCTCAGGGCTTAGGTACGACCACAACCTAAGATCGTGACTGCAGTGCTTTTTATCTTTGCAGCTTTTCCACTTTCTCTCCTGCTTTTCCCTTCTTGAGGATGTTTCTTTCATTCCCATTCACCAAGAACAGTAAAGGCCCAAGCCAATGAATCCCCTAAGTCACAGATGGAGTGACTAACTGGAGTGCCACCTTTGCTGATAGCACTTCATCACCGACAGGCAGAAAGTTGCCACCCTGATGACATTCTGTGCCAGCAGTTCTCAGCAGATACCACTTAAATAGACAGATGTCCTTTACACTTCATGGCGTGAGCAGGAACAGCCCAGGAAACATCCACCACCTGGGACAGCCTGGCTCAACTACGTGTCATTCTTCCTGGGTTTTGTGGTTTCAGGTTCTTCACGTGCCTAAAGGTGCAAAGTAAGATTCAGGAAGCCACCACCATCGATGTGACACGTTTACAGGGTACAGGTCTCCAGTGTAGGGGTCAGGCCCCTTCCCCACCAGTACTCCTTTCACAGGAAGGGCTTCTGGTTAACATTCTAATTTTACCTTGTATTAGGTTCCCATCATGCTGCACCTTTGAAGGAGCATTCATTCCTGCCCATTTCTCTGAATCAAAGAGAAGCACCATATTCCTAATCTGTATTTTAAAAAAGTGATAAACAATGGCTATTCTAATACTGATAGGAAAACCCTGAAGAGCCCTGACTGTACCTTATTGTCATTAATTAGTGCAAAGGACCTCTCCCACCTACCTTCGCACTTTACTGGGAGGTCCTGCACCATTCTGAGGGAAGCAATGGTTTTTTTCCACTTCATTGCTAGAGACTGCAGCTTCCAGGCAGCGAGTTAAGTTCAGGCCCTTGTACCAGTATCTCCTACGGGCTGGCCAGCACGTGTACAGATAGGGAGCTGCTCTTCACTGAAACACCTCTTTCCTGGTCATGCAGATGTTTGCTACAGAATCTGCTGCTCTGTTTTCCGTTATGTAGGAGGAATTTTGTGCAAAACAGTATGTAGGACTGTCTCATTTTCTAGATGTTATTCCTAGGTGTGGCAAAGAACAGTTACAATTTCCTGTGGGATGTGGTCTCTACTAAACTTGGTGGGGTGCAAGCATAGTTATGACTTGCTGTGTTTTCCACCCAGTTAGCAAACAGAGCTTAATGGCAAGATGCAAAACGTGAAGAGAAGAAACACGTGTGGGATTGTGGGGTAATGAAGTACACCTTGTTGCAGACAGAAAATGAGAAAGAAGTTAAGCTTGGTACTAGCTTGGCAGTTGTTAGTGGCAGTATCTCATAAGGTCACCATAGGAAGAGGTCTTAAGGAGGGATTTTAAAGCAGGTGAATTTCTGGTGGTACAGTTTTTTCTTCTGGCAGTTTGTTTCACGCGTAAGGGGATGACACAAAAGAAGTGTTCGAAGATCCTTGCGAGAGAAAGGAGTTAACAGGCGGTAAAGGTTAGCAGGGAGTTTCTGAAAGCCACTCACTGCCAGTGCTGTGATCCTGAAGCTGAAAGATGTGGGGTTAAAGTCACGGGAATGAAGGCAACCCATCTTGTGTTTGTGAAGGAGGAGAGGCAGCTGTGGGACGTGAGCCTCTAACAGAGGAGACGATCAATCATTTTGTAATAGGTATCTGGACAGGTAGACCTCAAAGCAGTAGTGAGACTAATCTGAGAAACACCAGCAGACAACTCTCAGTGCAAGAGGCTCCCTCCCACTGAACCTTGTACACGTGCTGCCCAGCACCCACGCACTGTGGAAGCATTTAACTGATGTCACCTTGCAGGATTGCTGTAGAACTAGTGAGATGCTCACAAAGCCCACAGTATTTTTACGGAGACCACCTGAGGGTTTTGTTCCAAGGCCTGCTCAGTGGGAGGTACACGGTAAGCTAGGTCCAGCCCCGTGGAGTTTAGCTGGTGCTGCACACCAGCTGAGCGGTCTGGTGGTGTGGGCTGAGACCAGGTGAGCAGCAGGAAGAGGAACCATCTCCCAGAGGTGTAGAGGAACGTTGCATGCCTAGAGCTTTAGCAAGGACCAAGCAAAACTTGCAGCCTGGGTTCAGGCAAGTATTTGTCATTTACACAGCACGGGCGTAGAGCCTCATGTCACAAGTGCAGTGGTGCTTTGCAGCAGAAGGCAGGTTTTATGGTTTGACTGGAGGTCTGAGGTTGAAGAATTAATTAGTTTCTCAGCCCTACCAGCAACTCCCTGCGTGACACTGAACACGTCACTTCACCTTTCTGCCCACCTGCCTCTCTTTCAGGGGGTCATAACGCACACTTTACAAGTGGTTTGAGATGCTGAGCTACAAAGAGCTGTACGGATACATGGCTGACAGCCCCACTACTCTGCCTTCCCTTCGGCTTCCAAGCTGCGCTACAACATGATGGGTTAGAGGGTCCCCCTGGGAATTACTGTGAGCTTGGAAATTAGGTGATACATAGTCATCCCATAAAATACAGTCTTGTCTCGAATAGGGTAAGATAACAATGGTCACTCCAGAATTCATCTGAATTCTGGTTTCGTGGCATTTAAACGCTTCACCCTTTTCCAAATTGCAGGCAGGAGGAAGAGTTGTAACATGCAACTGCTGAGGATCACAGATACCTTTTGGGGTGGCTCTAAAAAGGGCTCTCCCATTTTTCCACATCTGTCTCGCCAGCGCAGCCCCACCACTGACTGCACCCTGGCTGGTTTCCTTGACACCTCTTCTGAACAAGAGTACTGTCAGCCTGCTTTCTGTAGTTGCCTATATCCAAATTTCTCTGTTCACGGGCTCTGAGGAGCTGGCCAAACCTCATTTCTTCCGTGGTATTCGAGTGTGGTTAGGAGACTTTACTCATGTGCCTAACTCACTGAGAAAAGGTAGATTTCACTAAAATTTTCATATCCTTGAAATATTTGTGTGGCAGTTAGCTAAAACTCCTTGGACCTCTCTTAACTGGTTTTTGCTAACAGTTCTAACAGAGCTTGCACTAATGAAGGTTTGAAGCAAACAGTATTTCCCTTTGCTTACTGCAAAGGCTTTGGGGCAAATCTTAAATGTAGAAAGAACTGTAATAAATAAGCATGTTGACATACAATTTTGTATATCAGCATTAAATGCTTAATCGAACACTTCAGCATAACTGTAAGCCTTGACAGTTTAACTAGGCTTTCTAGAATTTAACATCCCTTTTAGCTTTTTTTTGTCTTCCACAATTAATGTTTGTTACCGATAACATTAATTCATGGTTTTAATTTCTGCTCAAACTCTTCTATCTTGGGACCAAAGCTTTACTTCCCTGCTTCGTGTGGGGCGATAATAATTCCTGTTTTGGCTTCCAAGCAATGGCAACCACCTCTCTGGGAGAGGAGCAGGGCTGCTGGTTCTCAGGGCCAGAGAGGAAAACAGTGGAAATTATAATCCCTGAGCGTGGGGTACAGCAGAAAGCAAAAGTACGTGTTTTATCAACATGGACAAGTTGACAGAAGAATCCTTCCCAGCCTCTGTATAAAACATTGATACGTGTAGTAACACCAGGGAGATTATTGGACTGTAGACCTGCACTGGTTTGCTCTAAACTTTTGGCAGATAATGTGCAGCAGTGCTAACCCTGTCAACAAAAAAAAAAACCCCAAAACAACAAAAAAAGCATTTCTTCCAAACCTAGCTCATAGGTTGGCTTTTTTTGGTGACATAACTTTAAAAAAAAAATAAAGTAAAATTGTGTACAAACGTCCCAGAAACCTAAAATTAAATCAAAGACTTCTTGGCTTGTTTAAATGAGAAGCTGTGTCTTTCAATAGAACACCACTAGTGCCTTCAATCTCAGGATTAAAGTGACTGAGTCAAAAACCCTACTTGCAGAGAGACAGGAGGAGGAAGAGGAGGAGGAGGAAGGTGTAGAGCTGGCTCCTCTGCACAGGCTTCCCAGAGCCACCCAACAAGCTGTGAGCCAAGCACCAAGGGGGCTGACGATTCCGACGGACCCGTTTCCCGAGTGCCGTTTCGCTGCCGTGGAAATACCACCCTGTGAATTGCTTTTTTGGTCCTTTGCTCCCGTCATCGGTCAGTCACACCCTTGGACCCCTCCGCTGATGTAGTCTCACCACCACCACCTCTGAACACAGCTGCCACAAACCCAACTCTAGGAAAAAATTGTACTAGCATGACTAAAAATGTCTTCAAAGAGGGACTGTAAGTTTCAGGGACCATTTTTCATTCCTAGGAGGGGCTGTCCGTGTGCCAGGAACTAGGGCAGAACAGAAGAACAGAAAAAATCTTCTGATGTGTTCTGCCCCGTTCCTGAAATAAGAACTGTCTGAAGGGAGCGGCATACTTGCCCAGTCCCAGGAGCAGTAGCCCCATTTCTGCCATCAGACAGTGACTTTTGCTGAACAGGTTTTCTCTTTGGCTTGGCAGTAGCTGTCCTTGAGCAGTCCTGGCCTGTGAGTCTTTGGCTCTCTAGCAGAGGGAATTTTTCCATCTGTGATACCCACAGCATCTTTCGTGGGCAATCATTTGGGGTCCAGGTGAACACGTTCCGGTGACTTTGGCCGGGGTACAGCTACAGGGCCAGCACCAGGGGACAGCTGGAGGTGTTCTGGCCACCTGAGGCTGGAGGAGTGTGTGGCTTACAAGCTGCACCTCCAGTAGAGGTGTCCCTGTGGAACTGGGCCATCTGTGTGAAGGCACAGGGGCTTGGCAGAGCATCCCATAGTAACCACAGGTGCCAGAAGAAGGTGATAAAAGAGATTTCTAGATCTACTGACTTGTCTTTGGGCACTCGGTGGTGCCATTATCCCATTTTCTCCCTAGTATTAGGGAGAATTATTAGGTGCCATTATCCCCTTCTCCCAAAACGAAGTTGCATTGGTGCTTTGGTCGTTTGTTGAGAAAAATTTGCCTGTGATGCCTACGCCTGCCAGATACAAATAAAGTCAGCTTTATGACTGCTGATGAACCCCTCCTCTTCCCCCAGTTTTGTTTTGTAATGCCTGCATTCGATTTGTGGACAAAACGTAGGCATCACCCCCAAAAGGTCTTCAAATTCGGTCCCTAACTGCTATTAGAGAGAACTTTTTAGAGCCTTCAGGCTGTCAGGCGCTCACCTAGTGCTTGTAAAAACTACTAACGTTTAGTATCTTATCTCCATAGATAACAAATCCCTTTAAGCTGACTGATCTCTTTGGTTCTGCAGATCAGACTTGTGGTTGAAGAGGGACTGAATCAACTGCCGTACACGGAATGTACCGTGACCACTCCAACAGGTACGTGGGAAATTACTCCTCCCCTAGGTAAGACTGGGAGTGGAACCTTAACTAATATAAAAAAATACAGAATTATTACAAGAATCATAGAACGTCTCCAAGAGACCCATAAGGATGATCGAGCCCAACTCCCTGCTCCTCACAGGACTACCTAAATCTGAACCGTGTCCCTAAGAGTGACATCCAGGTGCTCCTTGGACTCTGACAGGCTTGGTGCCGTGACCACTTCCCTGGGGAGCCTGAGAACAGTGTAACATTCAGGGTAGAGAGCAGAGTTAATGTCCCTTCTGGTATTTAAAGAGCGAGAAGGCGCGTAACAACACAGTTAAGCCAAACCTTCAGTCATACAGTTGCCATTTTACTAAAGTTTAAATTGGTCTTGCAAAACCGTGGTGAAAATCTCCCCGTGTGCAAGATCAGTTTACTTGCCCATACTGCAACGTTGAACTAACACTGCTGACATTTCCCAGGCCCGTTAAAGCCCGGGGCACAAGCAGTTTTGTGGTGCCAGCCTACACCTGTCCGTTTGCAGCTGGGAGTGATGCTGTGCTGACCCCAGGGGAAACCCGCCGCAGTGGGTTTGGTTTGCTCCTCTCCTGTTAGCTGTAACAACATGCCAGGTTGCACGCATCGCTCAGGAGTAGCTGCTCAGTGATCAGAACTTGGGAACTGCTCAAGTTCACCCGCAGCACCCCTGTCAGATGCACGCCGGGCACGTCCTCCTCCCCCAGGAGTTTCATTTGCCTTTCTGCAGAGCGAGAGCAGCTCTGTACGTCTACGCTGTCTGCCCTTCACAGTAAATCCTTTGTATGTCTTTACTTAGAGAAAAGATGGACTGAAAACACTCAATCCTGAAACTAGACAGAATTTAGGAAGGCACTCGGGAGGCACCGTCACTTACCGTTGCTCCTTTTTAAATAAAACAGCAGCTACTTCACTTCTGGAGCATCGGTGTCGCGTCTGTTCCAGGTCAGTGGGTGGGGGAGACATCGATGACCACCGTCTCTCTGCCTTGCACAGTCTGACTGGGCAGGTCCCCTGCGAAGAACACCCCTTGGCAGCTCTCCAGTTCTTTTTGAGTGGGCGGCTGCCCTGGCTGGGGGCAAAGTCTTGGACCTCACCCTCGGAGCGCACATCGCCATGGGGAAAAGACTGAGTTTCCCACCCTTACTCCCAGCCCCACTTCCCGAAACTGCCTGAGCTCTGCAGTCACTGGGTTTGCCCTTTTGCTCCAACACCTGTGCCCAGTGAGGGAGCTACAATGGCCTCAGCCGAGCCCTTCCAGGAGGAAGTGTCCCTGGAGAACTCGGATGCTTCTGCATG